ACTTTCATCCATTTCACCCCCAGGAGGTTCTTTTATATTCCACCATATTATGGGGTCTCCTGACCATATTCCTCCCTGACACTCCAACCCCTTCCCAAACGACACCCCCTACCAGCAGGAAGTAGCCAGAAAGAGAAACGTCGCCCTTTTCCTAACAGAACAAAAAGGGAGGAATATTAGGTTGTATGAAAACTCTTTCGGCTGCGCCCCATCATGGCCCTGGCTACCCTTCTCTTCTGCCTTCTCCTTCCCGCCGGCACCACAATACCTTCCCGCCGGCATGAATCGCACGCCAATCAGCACAGGCTCCCTGCTCCTGGCCCCTTAGCAACGCAATCCATCCAATCCCCGAACGCCCCCCTGTCCTCAGCAAACCTATCAGCTCTCTTCTAACCCTATAAAAGCAGATGTGCCCGCTGAATAAAAACCTTCTCCAGGGAGCTGCCTTGCATTTGTGTCTCATCCTTTAAGTGGTGCTGGATTTTATTCCTTTTAGTGGCCACCTACAAGTCAGGAAGAGAGCCTTCACCAGAAACTGAATTTGCCAAAATGTTGATCATGGACTTCTAGCTTTCAGAACTGTGAGATAATAAACTTCTGTTGTTTAAGCCACCCATATTGTGATATTTTGTTATAGAAGCCTGGGCAGACTAAGATAAGTGAGTATAAAGCTTCAGAAGTTCTTAAGCTGGGGCCCACAGGACCTTAAAGCATCCATGGAGAGAAGTGTTTCGATAACATTTTTTAAAATGTAATCCTATGTAATTTACGTTTTTAAAAACATTATTCTTAGAAGGGCTTCAAAGGCATCACCAGACTGCCAGTGAGGTCCATGGCATTAAAACAAAAAGATTAAGAACTTCTTTACCTCCTTCTGGCAGGTATGAAATAAATATATGTGGTGTCAGGGCAAGATAACTCAAAACTTGCTTTCAACCATAAATTTTACTAGAGTCAAATATATCCAAATCTATAATCTTTAACTATATTAAAACCTATAGATTAATATAGAGAGATGAGGGAAAACATATAGAATTTTCTGAAATATTTAGTTCTAGCAGACATTTATGTTGAGTGTGAGCCACTAAGAACCATAGGATAACCATGTGTATGGGTACCATATGTATAGTTACCATATGCATGTACCATATGTACCACGGTATTCCATATAAGTATTAAAATTATAGCAAATGTTATAATGATAAGTACAATATGGAAACATAAATATTATTAGTAATACTGTACAGCTGAACTGTAAGAGTCCTTCCAGTAAGGCAGAGCTGCTGATTCCTGAAATGCAAATGACCCACACATTTGCAGACAGTGCTTAGAGAAGAAGTCCAATGAGTCAATAATAATGGGTCAGCAGAGTAAGAAAGTCAGTCAAATATTTCTGAGTGCTAGACCCTTGCCACTGTAAAGAAGGAGTCAGTGCTTTATATGTAGGTCTAAAGAATCTAAATATCATATCTGGGAAAAAGAATAATTACAGAATCTCTAGAGGTGCAACAGCTCACAACTCCATCAACTCCATCAACTCTTAATGCCAACAAAGGACAAGGGTTGGTGAGGAAGTGGAAAAACTGGAAACCTTGCACACCGTTGGTGACAATGTAAAATGGTGCAGCCACTGTGGAAAACACTGGAGCTTTCTCAAAAAATTAAAAATAGAACCACCAGATGATCCAGCAATCCCACTTCTGGGTCCGAAAGAATTTAAATTTATCCAAAAGAATTTAAATCAGGAACTCAACGAGATAAATTTATCCAAAAGAATTTAAATCAGGAACTCAACGAGATATTAGCACTACTATATTCATTGCAGCACTATTCACAATATGCAAGATGTGGAAACAATCTGAATGTCCATCAACAGATGAACGGTAAAGAAAATGTGGCATATACAAACAAAGGATTATTAGCCTTAAAAAAGAAGAAAATTCTGCAATATGTGACAACATGGATGAACCTTGAGGACATTATGCTAAGTGAAATAAGCCAGTCACAAAAAGACAAACACTACATGATCCCACTTATATGAGGTATCTAAAATAGTCGAATTCGGGGCCGGCCCGTGGCTCGCTCAGGAGAGTGCGGTGCTGACAACATGAAGGCCACGGGTTTGGATCCCATATAGGGATGGCCGGTTGCTCACTGGGTGAGCAACCGGCCACAACACCAAGTCAAGGGTTAAGATCCCCTTACCGGTCATCTTTAAAAAAATAAATAAATAAATAAAATAGTCGAATTCATAGAACCAAAGACTGGAATGTGGTTATGAGAAGCTGGGGGAGGGGAAATGTGCAGTTACTAATCATAAAGTTCCAGTCAAGCAAGTTGAATAGCCTCCAGAAATCTGCTGTACAACATCGTACCTATACTCAACATTAGTGCATTGCACACTCAAAATTTTTTAAAAGGGTAGATTTCATGTTAAGTGTTCTATTCACAATAAAAGAATTCTAATTTTCAAAAACCAGAGATTAATAAAATACGGAATTGAGAATTAAGTAAACAGAGTGCCTCGGGTTGAATATACCCCCAAAACTTAATCTCCACTGTAACAGCTGAGGGTGGGAAATCCTATTATGGTAACTGAAAGGTGGGGCCTTGAAGAGGTGATTAGAGTGTAGGACCATGCCATAATGAATGGATTAAAAATGGTGGTCATGGGCATGGTTTGTAGGGCTTTAAAAAGAGTGAATGAGGTGGTTACTCTGCTCTCTGCTCCACAATTTTGCTATGTGATAGTCTGCCGTCATTGAAGTCACCACCAAAGAAAGCCTTCACCAGATGTATTCCCTGGACTTTGGGCTTCCTAGCCTTTGAAACTATACGCAACAAATTTCGTTTTTTTTTTTGTCCTTTTTGAAACCAGCTGCACCGTGCTCAGCCAGTGAGCGCTGTGAGCGCACCGGTCATCCCTATATAGGATCCGAACCCGTGGCAGGAGCGCTGCTGCGCTCCCAGCGCCGCACCCTCCCGAGTGTGCCACGGGCTCGGCCCTAAATTTCGTTTTTTTTATAAATTGCCCAGTTCCATGTATTTTGTCATCAGCAACAGGAACAGACTAATACACAGGGGTCAAGCTTTCATGAATATGAAACTCCAGAGACATTTTTACCTTTTGAAACTCCAGAAAGAATAGTGAGATTTTTACCTTATGAAATTCCAGAAAGAAACTCCAGAGAGATTTTTACCTTATGAAACTCCAGCAAGAAATTCCAGAAAGAAAGACTTTATTTGCCTTTTTCACCTTTGCGTTTCAGCACTGAGTGCTAGGCACATAAGCGGAGCTTGCAGAATAAATTCTATTCAAGTGAAGAGAAGGTGACACTGCAAACAGGGCCAGGCTGGTGGGTTTAGGGTTGGCAGAGCCAGAATGAAGTTTAATAAATGAGTAAGCTTGAGGGGACCTCTGTGGAGAAACTACACACAATTTAAAAGCCATTTGGGATTCTGTTAAATCTTTGGGAGGCAATTTGACAATGTGCACCAAGAGACTTACAAATATTTTTATTATTTCATCCAGTAATTCTATTTGTGGTACTCTATCCTAAAATAATAATCAATCCTAAAAGACAAAAAACTTCATCCATAAAGAAGTTTATTACAGGGTCGGCCCGTGGCTCACTCGGGAGAGTGCGGTGCTGATAACACCAAGGCCCCGGGTTCGGATCCCATATAGGGATGGCCGGTTTGCTCACTGGCTGAGCGTGGTACTGACACCACCAAGCCAAGGGTTAAGATCCCCTTACCGGTCATCTTTAAAAAAAAAAAAAAAAAAAAAGAAGTTTATTACAGTACTGCTCTTAATAAAGAAAAAATGGAAACCATCAGTCTAACAACTGGGAAAAAAAGTTACTGTGAACATTCTATGTGTGGTGGATTTAGTATGCTGTCATTAAAATTGTGATTATAAAGACGATGTAATACTACAGGTAAATGCAGTGTAACTCTTAAAAAAAAGAGGCAAAATTGAACAGAGTATGGTTGTAAGTTATAGGGAGGGTAGAGGATGAGGGAGAAATCAGCTCAGTTAAAAGCGTTTGTCCGAGAGTCAAAAAACACCTTTTCTTTCTTTTATCTTTATCTTTCAGTGTATTTCCACTATTTTTCATAATTACTTCATTCACCTAGCAAACATTTATTGGGCGTCCACTATGTGCCAGGCGCTGCTCTAGGAACTGTGAGAAACTGCAGTGAAAAAAGCACAAATCCTGTCCTCATGGAACTTATATTTTAGATGGAAGAATCAGTAAATTAACAAGATTAATCAATTAAATGGCTTATTAGCTGATTAGCACTCGGCCAAAAAAAGAAAAGTGATACTGCATTTCCTTTATGACCCGGAGAGGGAAGGTATTCACCCAGGTAGAAGGACAGCAGGCCTAATTAAGAACCGGCCCAGCGGGTAACAGACTGAAAATGCCGGGACGCGCCAGCCCCGCAGGGGTCGCTGCAGCTGGCCAGGCGGGCGGGTTTAGTTTGCGCGCTGGGACCAGGCAAAGCGGGTCACGTGACTGCGGGGCGGGGGAGGAACGAGAGGAGAGCAGTTTGGCTAGGCACCTTCTCTACAGAAAGGCGGGCGGAGCCGAAAACCAAACAAACGTCTTCTGCGTGATTGGGGGCGGGACAGACGGGTGCAGAATTAGCCTTCAGTGCTGTGGCCCTCCGCCGAGTTGGTTTTTCGGTTGTTGGTCGCCGCGGCTGGGCGGTCTGTGGTCGGGCTGAGAAGCGCGGAGCAATGGCGACCTTTGTGAGCGAGCTGGAAGCGGCCAAGAAGAACTTGAGCGAGGCCCTGGGGGATAACGTAAAACAGTAAGAGCTGTTCGGGCGCAGCCTCCGGGCCTACGCGCGGGTGCTCTCCTGGCCTCGGGCTGCTGACTCACTCCGGAGACGCCCCCCACTGCCCCGAGGCCTATGCAGCCTGCGTCCGCGGCGACGGGGCCTTTGGGTTTCTTGGGCCGGGCTGGGGCGGGCCACCTGGACTCACCCCGCTGGAGGGGCCGGGCCTGTTTGGCGTCCTGGGGACCAGGGCGGGTGCCTTCGCCCAGGACTCTACCGTGGGTGGGGCGAGAGAAGCGCACTTCACGCCCAAGGGCCTTTGAGCTGATGCGGAGTCCTGTGCAGGGCCGCGGGGCGGTGGACGCGGGAGCCGGCCTGGAGCCGAGCGAGACCCGGCCCACCGCGCACGAAGGCCCGCCCCGGAGGGCTTCCCGGAGGCGGAGGTTTATTATTCGCGTCTGATATGCTAGGCATTATTGATAAGCGCTTTGACAGCAATTTCGGAAGGCAGACTGACCCTCGGGTAAAATAATAGGCACCGAACACTGCTAGGATTATAGTGGTGATAGCAGTAGCTGACATTTAAACACCTTTTAAGCGCTCTAAATGTATTATCTAATCCTCACGACAGATGTGAGGTAGGTACAGTCGTTCCTGTCTGATAGATGAGGAGACAGACCTAGCGAGGTTTAAGTAACTCTGCCAAAGTCACTGCCGGTATTGGGCCCCACGCTTCTGATTTCCGGCTGTGATGCCTTACAGGGTTTCACTGTGAAAGACCCCAGAGGCGCCCAGCCAGACCTTCACCCCTGTTATAGTAGGGGACCTAGTACACAGTCGGGGATAGTGCTGAAAGACCAAGGATAAAATCAATATTCATCCAAGGCCGAAGCCAAATAATGTCATAAAACGATACAAGACGAGTTTGAGAATTTTTCAAAACATGTTATTACAATTTTATTTTTCGAAAATATCGGAAGCAGTTTTAAACGTTTGAAATTATAGTACCTGTGTTGTTGCTGCTAAATGGATTCTGTGGTATGCTACATATTTGCATTACTCAGTAGATGCTTGCTTTTAAATGACGTTGGTGGAGGAGCAAAGTATTTGGTAATACTTTTTCTCCAACCCTTCTTTGTTTTCATTCCTCTCTGTATATTTATTATGAGTGGATTGAAGTTACTTAGCTTGGATGTCATACGTGATTTTTGGAATTTTTCCTTCTTTTGAGATTTTGGGGTGTCAGAGTCAACAGTCAGCTTTTCGTCCTAACAAGATACTAATAAATCAAACAAATAACAAAGTCTACAATTAAAACCTAATCTGTTATTTTAGTACAATTATTTAATTTTCGTAAACATTTGTTAACTCACAAAGACAAGATGTTCTACTTAAAAGTTGTCTTTTAATATTCATATTTATGGTCCGTGTATTCTTTGCTTGCTTAATTAATTTTAAGTTATTTTAATGAGTAAAATCGAGAGCTTTCACCCTTGTTATTACTTTAGCTTTTTACTTTATAATACTGACTGATACCATTTATGTTTTTTAAGCACAATAGTAGACTTTTCCTTCTGTTCCATCTAGAATGCTTACAGATATTTGAAAGTGAATGTTTACATACTACAGTAAATCTGAAAGACCTGGCTTGTAGGTTTGACTCACTTTAACCCTGATTAGATACAGTATCTCTGTGATCCCACATTCATCAATCGCACACAGATTCAGGGATGCCGGAAATGTTATTGAAGTTAACATTCCGTATTCAGTTTTTAAAGGCCAAAGTCGACTGTACAATGTTGGTCAAATACCGATGCTGAAGCTAAATTTTGTGCATCTGTAGTGTGAATCCCCACTAACGATGCAATCAAAAGAGATATTTGGCTAGGAACAGTTAATGGTACAGTATTGTATTGTTCTATATTAGTGTTTGCATTCTCTCATTGTCCTTTCCCCCCTCTGCATCTTAAAAAGTGACACTTAGTTAAATAGTCTGTAATATTGCTGTATAGTTATTTCTCATATTTCCTCCATGAGCATGGTTTGTACAACCTGAGCATTAAATGTGGTCCTTGGTGGTAGGTAAAACATATAAAGTTATACAAGGAGCCTGCATATGAGTTGTTCCCTATTTATCCAGTGGTCCTTATGTCCTCTAACTGGGTCAGGCTGTGTGCTCACATCAGCTAGGCTTTGCTAGCTAACTCACTTTGTATAGTACCCAGTAGAGTGTCATGTTCAAAAAGGTGCTTAATTTTTTTGAGGACTTGGTCATATGTTATTTAATTTTCTTCAGGTATCTCCAGTGCTTCCTAGTTTGACCCACTTAGACTTGTCACCCATTATTCTTAGATTCATAGAGGTTGACAAACTTTGTGTTTGGTATTGTGGAGGGAAACAGTCATTTGTCTGTGTTTATACAGTGAGTTAACACAGGGACCAGGATTAGGGAGCAAGTCTTCCAAGTCATTTTAGCCATTTTTGGCTATTTGGGCTAGAAAGTTTGCCACGGGAGAAGATAGCATTCTGTTGGTAGAGCTTCCCAGTAGAACCTTGTCTTAGTTCTGGAACAAGTTCACTCACTCCAAATATGGTTACATTTGCATCTTTCTGGTAAAATAGTGACAGGATTTTTGAATAATAAAATTTTTCTCCTCTTTTGTCAGATAGAATGGGATAGGAAAAGTCCTTTGGTTTTCTGTGGAACTTTATTTTATTTCATTAATGTTACTGTCTTTTGTTTAAGTATGAAATCGTTCACTGTTGAGAAGTTACTATTGACCTATTGCCTAATGAGTAGTGAACTGGGTGCCAGTCTCTAGAGCTAAACATGTTATGCTGTTGAGTGAAATGGCCCTGAATGGTCATGGGTCTTGGTTAACTTTAAGACTCCATAAAAGCTACGGGTTTTCTCCTGAAAAGAAAAATGCAAGGAACCCAAAGCTTTGCATACAATTACATGTATAAATAGCCAGTTGCCTACAGAGATACACACTAAGAGGACTTGAAGCTAATCTACATACAGGAGAAGCCCTGCCATGGGTAGTGTGGCAGTGAGAGCATTAAACCAGCTTGTTTAGCAATCTGATTTTTTTTTTTTTTCTTTTCCTGTTAGGAACTCAGATGAGTATTAGAAGGTAGGTGAGCCTGAATTGAAAGAGATAAGACATGTACTGAGTAATTTTTAATCTTGTTCTGTGAACAAGAAGCAGCTTCCTTAAGCGCTGAAGGGTTGTGGATGTGAAAAATCATATATTTTACTCCTATTTCTAACAATGTTGTTAAGGATAAAAGGTTAAATCATTTTTTTTTCTTCAAGTTACCTAGTAATTTTTATTATTAGGTCTTGGTTTTCATTTTAAAAACTACTAGGTTTTTCATATTCACAGGTCTTGTCTTTGTGGCAAGATGTTTAGGAACCCATTTCTTCAACTGGCTAGATTAAAACTTGAGTTCATCTGAACGGAAAGACATCACCCAGAATAAGTGTTAATAACCATTCCCTTCCCCATAAAACACATATGCATTTAAAAATATAAATCTTAATGCAGGATTCTGGAGAGTATGTCTTTTAGAAGGGTGTCAGTGAGAAGAAAAGGTACAGCTGTGATTTTTGGCTAAGTGAATCATGAGTCCAGTCCTGTGTCTACCTGCCTTTTAGGGAGGGCTTTCCTTTTGGTTTCGTTGTTGGTATTCTGATTCCTAGATAGTTAGTTTGCTAGGCCTGCAAAACAAAGTACCACAGACTGGTTGGCGTAAAACACCAGAAATTAATTTTCTCACAGTTCTGCAGGCTTGAAATCCAAGGTCAAGGTGTTAGCAGGTTTGGTTTCTTCTGAGACCTGTCTTCCACAGATGACATCCTTCTCGCTGTGGGTTCACATGGTTGTCTCCCTGTATGTGCACATGTCTGGTGTCTCTCTGTGTCTGTGTCTTAATCTCCTCTTTTTAGAAGAACACCAGTCATTGGGTTAGGGTTTATCTTAATGGTCTCATTTTAATTTGATTACCGCTTTAAAGGCCATATCTCCAAATACAGGCACATATTCTGAGGTACTGGGGTTAGGGCTTCAACATATGAATTTTAGGGGGATATTTTCAGCCCGTAACACTAGGGAATGCAAAATTTCCTTTCCTGGGAGTTGGAGCAGGCAAGGTGCTATCTCCAAATACAGGCACATATTCTGAGGTACTGGGGTTAGGGCTTCAACATATGAATTTTAGGGGGATATTGTTCAGCCCGTAACACTAGGGAATGCAAAATTTCCTTTCCTGGGAGTTGGAGCAGGCAAGGTGAACTTGGGGAAGAAGCAAAATCTGTGGTTCTTAATGTTGTTTCTGCCTCTGCAGATACTGGGCTAACTTAAAGTTGTGGTTCAAGCAGAAGATCAGCAAAGAAGAGTTTGACCTTGAAGCTCATAGACTTCTCACACAGGATAATGGTAAAATAATTATCTGGGGAGTTATTTTACTGTTTTGAAGTTTTCCCAGATTTGCCATAAATTAAAGTGCTTTTTCTTTTTGAAAAATAAATTTTGGTTTTAATATTGTGTGAGGTCATCTTAATAATGTGGATATTTAAAATTAAGGGTAAAGAATGGTGGAGTAGGGGACATCCAAAATCCTTACAAGCTAAAGTAGTGGCTTCCTTATTTTGAAAATATATTGTCTGTTTGCTTCCTCAGGGGCTAGAAAAGAAAGAAAAATTCTGTATTTGACTTGTAACAATCTTCCCTTTTTCAGTCCATTCTCACAACGATTTCCTCCTGGCCATTCTAACGCGTTGTCAGATTTTGGTTTCTACACCAGGTAAGGGAGTGGAAATACTTCTAGTGTATGTCAGTTGGCAAAGCTACGGAGCCCTAGGCTTTCGCTTCCTCTATCAGACACATCTGGTGTTTGCAAATGAATGGTTTTTGAACTTCTCAGAAGAAAAATTTTATTATGTAGATACACATTCTTCTACAGAACCTTTTCAGAGCACCTGATTTCCCTGTACTTACATTGACTTTTGGTCTTTACTCCCTACTCAGCTACATTTTAGATTACTTAAGTAAATGAGAAGTAAGGAAGAGGGTGAGGGAATGAAGAGGAGTCATTGGTGTTAGGAGAAGGTATTCAGTAGAGGTAGGGGAAATGAATTATGGAGAGGGGAAACCACAACATATGTTGGAAACTTGGACTTTCACTTGTATTCATAAGATGTCAGCACCTGGAAGGTTAGAGCTTCAGCATTTCTGTTGGGCAAATTATTGGTGGAGAACAGTAGGTAGGGGAGGTAGCAGCACTTTGGGAAGGTAGGTGAAAACTAAACCTGTTACTGCAACCTAAAGAGGTATAAATAGAAACCCTGATCCCTCTACCCCCAATTTTTCATCTTAAGTGGCAGATTAATTTGCATGTCACCTCTTTCAACCATTTTATTTTAATCAGTCAGTTAAAAACAGATAATTAAATGCATTGAAAACTTCCCTCATGATAAAAGTTGTCCTTGACTTTGTTAAAAACTTAAGTTAGCAGATACCTCCTGCCGTAGATTTTTTTACAGGCCTGAGGTGATCCTGGTGATCATATATGAAAAGCGCATGTACCATCTAGAAAAGGCTGGTATTTTGTATCACCTCTCTCAGCTAACTTCTATTGTGTGATAAAGAATTCACATAAGATCTCCAAATGCCTAATTCTTCCTCCCTTGAAGTTGCTACTGAGGTGGAGTGTAGTAAACAGTGAGCGTCTGTTTGTGGAGGTTGGTGTTGGGGAGTAGTGACTGCTTCCCTCACCCCTCACCATACCTGCCACTGCACATCCCCACACTATATTAGATTTTTGATGTTCTATTTAATTTAAATAGAAGTGACTTTAGCCATACCTCTTTTATGTCCAAAGTTAGATCATAAAGATAATCCACTTTGTTGTATAAAATTTAATTTGATCAGAAAATCCAACATCGTGAGGACAAGTTCTTACTTTTTGGTAGGTATACTGTAAAGTGCCACACACACCCAAAAGATAGGTCGAATGATCAGAAATAAAATCCTGGTTGATAGGAGTCAAGAGACATGGGTTCAAGTTGAGATATTACCATTAGCTTACATAATACAATTAATTACTTGGAATTTCTTAACTTGTACATGTATAAAATAGGTACAGTAATATCTACCCTATAGGATTATGAAAAAGCAGATGAAAGAACATGTAAATAAGTGCTTTTATAAAGAAATAATGCCAGACAAATATGAAGGAATTAGTAAGTACAGATGGCTGATTTTAATTAAAAACCTTTGATATTTTAAAATAAGTGAAGAAACATCCCATTTGGAATTTGAGAATGTATTTATCTGTTGAATACCTAAAATTTACTTCATCAAAATGAAAGTAATATTTGCTAGCAACAAAGAGAATGATTTCTATTAAAAGTAAAATATAGTTCTTTGAAGTTAACTGTAAATGGATTGTTTTCTGTTTTTCTAAGCTAGGCAGAAAAAATGACTTTAATAGTAAGTATTTATTGAGTGACTGCGGCATGCTAGACACTTTACATGCATTATCTTTAATTCTCACAGCAACTCTGAGGTTAGGTGTTAGCCTCTTTTCATAGATAAGGAAACACACTTCAGAAAAAAAAAAACCAAAATGAAAGAAAACTTGCTTGAGGCCCTGTGCAGCTGGTAAGTGGAAGTATTGGATCAAAACTGAAATGTGACTGCTGCTGAAAAGCCCTCCCTTTGTCGGGGTCGGTCCTTACCATGCTTTGCTTCCTCACCCACAGTGTTTGGCCACACAGCAGAGCGTGTAAGCTCTGAGTTTGCAGGCCTGCTCCTTTGCATCAGCCTTTGCAGGTTCAGCCTAGTTTCTTGTCATCACCTAGCATCTAGTTTCATTATCAGGAATAGATTTCTTCAGAAAATCATCTAAGATTGGCTGACCTTATCAAGTGAGGTCTGGAGACTGATGGAGAAGAACTTGACTTTCCAAAGAGTTCTTTTTTTTTTCCTTTTTGTCTTTTTTACTGACCGGTAACGGGATCGCAACCCTCGGTGTCGCGCCCGCACTGCGCTCAGCCAATGAGCGGGAACCGGTCTCCACGTGGGATCCGAACCCTCGGCAGGAGCACCGACGCACTCCCAAGCGGCGCACTGTAGCAGTGCGCCACCGGGCCGGCCCCTTCAGCAAATTCCAAATGAGGAAAAGAACTAGCAATCTTGCAAAGACTGGTGGGAAAGCAGCAAGAATGGTCAGTTCTCTGACTCTGGGGTGCTTGTAGGGACCTGGGGAAGCACTGCTGTTCCCCTCTTCAAGTGTAAACTGCACCATAGCTCACAGGACTGGAGCTGCAAAGCTCAAGGGTGCTGGTGGAGTGGCTTTGGGCTCCTGAAAGGCCCCCTACTCCCTGAGGGGCAATGACACTCAGTAATGTCACTGCCTCTGTGATTAGTGTCTGATTTCACAAGAAATGATGGTTTTCCCTTGCTTTGATGCTGAGCATCTTTACGAACATCCCTACCTTCTTATAACCTCGTTGTCACTGATGATACTGAAGCCATTGTGCATTCTGAATAAAGTTCGGTCTGTGGCTAAAATAAAAAATCAGTAACAGGTTTTATGATGAAAGCTTCTTCGTACCCCCAGACTTATTCACAAAGGCAACTACTTTTGTAAAAAAAATCAGTAACAGAGGTTTTATGATGAAAGCTTCTTCGTACCCCCAGACTTATTCACAAAGGCAACTACTTTTGTTTTTGTTCTTCTGGTGGGACTGCCATAGCCCCTCAAAGTTGCTTAAATCTATTTCTGGATTTACTGTTTTTTTAAATCTCTTTGTCTAATTCTTTGTGTTTTATGAGATTTCCTCAACTCTTTTAGTCTTTCTGTTTAATTCTTTAATTCAGCAGTTTTATAGCATCCTCTTGTTTTATGGATACATGTCTTCTCAAACTGTTTAAAGATACCAGTTAGAAATTTATCAACGTCCTTTTGCATTCTCTCTCTAGGACCTCTGTTGTTTGTTTAGCTTGGTCTTTCTTACCGTGTTACAGAATATTGTTAAATGTCTAGTGATTCATTGTTGTCCTTTTCATATTTAAGAATGAAGTATAAAACTACCTGGAGACTTTGCTTTAGAGTGAGCTGACAGCAAGCCATTAAACCGGGGGTCTCCCAAATACCACTATAGAGAGAGCTTTGCACTAGGGTACCAACATCCATACCAACTACCTTAATAGATCCCAGAAATTTTGTTCAGTTTAACTAGGGAAGAGTCCTCCATCCCTTCCCACCTTACCACCCACCTATTATAAGTGTCCTGCTCTGTGTCATTCTGTGCATGAGGAAAGCTGTGCATGGAGCAAGCAGGGCTGCTGCCATCATGGGCATGTGAGCTGCAGTTGCACAGACGGGCCCTGCACTTGGTTTGGTGCTGTACTGTACTGTCATCTTGAAATTCTTAGTTTTTGAACAAGAGGCCCCATATTTTATTTTGTACTGAGCCCAGTCCTCAGAGTGAGAGAAAAGGAGTTTATGTGTATGATTTTTTGAATACAGTCCTTCCTTCCATTAATCTTGTTTTTAATCTTATTAACCTCTCCTAGTTTCCACTGTACTCATGTTCTCCAAATCCAGATTCTTAGTGGGTTTCTATTAGGCAGGTTGACTTGCTTCCTTCTGCCATTTGCCACCTTCCTTCTGCAGCCTAGGTTGCAACTTCCATGTTTCTGCTTTGTAAGTCACACCCTTTTAGTCTGTCTTAGAAATATGTTGAGATCTTATCTTGTCAGTCACTCATTTTCTTTTTTATCTTTGTTGTGGATGTGTGCCATTTACCTTCCTCTACTATCATTTTTAGTAGGGTCTTGGAAGAGAGAGGAAGGAGGTAAATATATGTGCTCAGTTCACCATCTTGGACTAGAAAATTCTTTCCTACTTTTATAATACTACTACTACTCATAAACAAACCACTTAATAAACATTAATTAAAAACAAAAAAACAAATTTATCTTCCTAAAAAAATAATTGTAGTTACAGCTAGGAAAAAAGTTGTGATTTGAGAGGATTTATTTTAGAAAAGTGGAAAGAAAAAATTTGAATTTAAGCATTTATTACTTATTTTCATGTTGAGCATTCCATGCCTTTTTTTTTTTAAGCCCAAAATGAAAACAAACTTAGCAGTTATCAATTGTCATTATTTCACTTATGGTTATTATTTTTCTGTCTCATAGAGGGTGCTGGATCTTTGCCCTGGACGGGGGGGTCTGCAGCCAAACCTGGAAAGCCAAAGGGAAAGAAAAAACTTCCTTCTGTTCGTCAGAAATTTGATGTAGGTTCTTCTCCAATAGATTTTGATAATGACTGATTTAAGTACTGATGTGATGGAACTAGCTTTACTTTTTTAAATGAATTGGTTGTAGAGTTGAAAAAAAAGGAGGTATGATTTGGGAGAAAAGGGTTTCAAGGATTGTGAACTCCTAGGTGTCTGAATTTTTATAGTTCTTGTTTGTTATTGCTTAAATATTAATGTTATCATTAGTATTTAATGAATTTTCAGTGATTCAAAGCTATGCCTGTGTTCTTCCTACTCTGAAATATTTTTCTTGAATGAGTAATGTTTCTCAGATTGAAGACATCCGCTCTGAAGGTTCAGGTGGTCTGGAGGCCTCTGACAGGCTCCTGGTGATGCCCTGAGCCTTTTGGAGACCATTAGAGATGTCATGAAGGCATTTGACTATAAAGTTTGTAGACCTTTTAGGATAACTTCCTTTTTTCAGTTAATATGAAGGGAAAAACGTTTCCCCGAAGTATCCCTTTATAGGTTTGACTGGATATTGATAGCTTAATTGATTAATATCAACAAACATTTATTTCTTTACACCTTTGCTCTGTATTTTATATGAGTAGTAATAATCAATCTGGATAACATCAGTATCTCCAGAGAAGCATACCTGGTTTAAAAAGGCATGTTTAGGGGCCGGCCCGTGGCTCACTCGGTAGAGTGCGGTGCTGATAACACCAAGGCTGCGGGTTCGGATCCTATGTAGGGATGGCCGGTTTGCTCACTGGCTGAGCGTGGTGCTGACAACACCAAGCCAAGGGTTGAGATCCCCTTACCGGTCATCTTTTAAAAAAAAATAAAAATAAAAATAAAAAGGCGTGTTTAATATAAAATATAGTTTTATACTTGGAAAATAGAAAAAATAACAATGTTGCTTTTATAATAAAAACTTCAAACAGGGACAAACCATCCTTACTACAAAAGCTTGTATTTTGGGCCTAAACAAAAGCTAGTAGAGGCATATCTCCCAGTGATGATGGAGAATATGAATGGGCTTTCAGAATCTCCCAGAGGAAGGCTGAGATTTTATGAATGAAAAGAGATTGAGAAAAACTTTTAAGTAGTGTAACTATGTCTTAGATAGGTTCTGTGTTAGACAGAAAATAACAGTTGAGAAATTGTTAGGTAGAAAATAACAATAAGTAGTTACACTACACAGCATTATCTTGGAATATTTGTTATTAGATCTGTTATATTGGTTAGGCTTTTTAAGGCCTTAATTGAAGCATTAATTATACATATGTTCATACTTTCAGAACCTTTTTACAGTTGTACTTGAAATGCTCTTACTTGTTTGAATGTAGTTCTGTATCTTCAACCTAATTGTTATTTTTAGCACAGGGCCACACATTCTGTGATCACCAAGATATTAATTGAATAGAATAAACTTATGCATACTATCATTATTCCCCTTAATTCATGTCTTCATTATTGCCATGTAATGGGTGTGTGAATCTGTGATTATTTGTGCACGAGTTACTTTTTTTTTTTTTTACCCCTGTGGTATAGTTTTGGTGGCATTAATTTGTAGGCTCTGAAGTCGAATACATGGGTTACTTTTGTTTATGTCTTATTACTTGCCACTGTAATGAATAATTTTGAAAAGTTTTCTTACTCATAGCATAGATTCCAGCCTCAGAATCCCCTGTCAGGAGCCCAGCAGTTTGTGGCAAAGGATCCCCAGGATGATGACGACTTGAAACTTTGTTCCCACACAATGATGCTTCCCACTCGCGGTCAGCTGGAAGGGAGGATGATAGTGACTGCTTATGAGCATGGGCTGGACAACGTCACCGAGGAAGCCGTTTCAGCTGTTGTCTATGCGGTGGAGGTTGGTTTGCTGGTGGCAGAAATAATTTTACAGATTGAATGTGACAAGCTTGTATGTGTTGTTTAAAGTTGATATTGCAAGAAAAGAACTAAAATGTCACTCTGATTTAACAAAATTGTGATTGTTGAAGTTTTCCTTTGAGAGGAGAAACACATCACAATCCCAAGAATTGCCTTCAGTTAATAGACTAAGCTTTTCAGAAAAGTTTACTTATGGCATAATACTTCTGCTTGATCTGGTGTTTGAACAAGGGTACAGTTTTTAAAGACAGAAACGAGTTTGAAAATCCTAAAGATTAAAGTTACTTGTTTTTGCTGTGGTACAGCATTTAAAGAGGATTAGACTTGGTGTCCAAATAGTAGGATTCTTGTCTCAGCACAGTATTTTGTTCATCCATTCATTTTATTCATTTAGTTATTTGACAAAATATATATTGGGGTCTCTAGTGCAAAGGTACCATCAGACAACATTGGGTAATTCCTTCCAATTCTCTGGGCCTCATTTTCCTCATTTATACCCCAAAGATAATAATAGCTGTCTCATGAAGTTATAAATGAATTTTGTGTGAAGATCCATTATAAATTAGATAATGAAGTCTTGATAAAATATAGTCTTATTAGTATAATTGAAACGCTCTGCCTGATCCTGGCTCCCATTTTAATAACAGTAGGCTGGCACTAGTCCTGTCTCTCCATTTTCACAGACATCCCCAACCTTCTCTTATGTACTTGGCTCTCAATAAAAGTGAAGAGAAATTAAATTAAGTGCCTAATTTTTGTGGGTTTATTTTCTATATATGTAGTTTATGTGGCTTTTGAGAGAGCTAAGGTTCTTTCTGTGTAAGGATTTGGTAGATTTGGTATTATAATCAATAAACACCATATCTTGAAACTTTTTGTCCCATTTGATACAAGTTTCAAGGTAGTTTGTTTCTTTATTAAAAATTATTTATTTATCTTTCATTTTATTTTTCATTTTATTTAAAGCTGTCTAAAAATCATTTCGGGGAGAGGAACCAATTTAGAGACATAAAACTTCTAAAATAAATTTCATGTGGAGCAATCCCATCTTAAAAACAAGTAAATAAAAATAAGCATGTCTCACGCTTTCCTGTACCCTCCTACTCCTTTGGCATTGGTCTGTGGCTCTTTAGTGTACATTCATTTGGTTCTAGCATGTGCTAACCTTTCACACATCTCCATCTAAATGTCAATAAACATTTTTGATCAATGGAAGTTTTGTGATTTTCTTTTAAAGAGGAGATCATGCTATTTTTCTTTTCTTGTTTTTACAGAATCACCTTAAAGATATACTGACATCAGTTGTGTCAAGAAGGAAAGCTTATCGGTTACGAGATGGCCATTTTAAATATGCCTTTGGTAGTAATGTGACCCCACAGCCATACCTGAAGAATAGTGTAGTAGCTTACAACAACTTAATAGAAAGGTAAATGAAGTGTCTTGTGATTTTTGCTTCCATCCTTTGCTAGTTGGATACATAACTCTCGTGTAATAGACCACTGTTAAATAATCAATTATATCTATAGGTTTAAAGTACGTTTGGCAACAGTACAATTAATTTTCTTTTCTTAGCTCCCATCCTTGCATAGTATCTAGTGGATTATTTTGATACTCTTTGTTAGAAGTGAAGTTCCGTAGTTTGGCTGCTGCATATGGGTTTAAAGTGATCCCCTCTGCACCCCCAGCATCACCACTTTTTGAGGTGGAATGTGGTAGTTCCCTGGGGCAGTGTGTCCTGATGGCACTTGAGGGGCAGTTCCTAGTGGGGAAGTGGTCCTGCTCTTAATTGAAGCATGGCCTGTGATTGTTGGGTCAAGGCTGGGATTCTTGATAGAGGAGGAGGAGGAGTAGATGTTTCTTCAGGTCCTTATCTGGCTCTTGTAGCTGCAGCTCATGACGGTGGCTGTGCAAGGTGTCATCAGATTGCTCTTGGCGTCCTGTTATGCAGATCTGGTCCCTCATCCCATCTGGGATTCCTATTCCTCATTCTACTGAGGGCTCCCTGAACCTCTCTCATGTCTGGAATCATCCCTTTATGAGGCAACTTAGGTTGCCTTCATCCATATGTGTCTTTCTCACCCTTCCCTTCCCCGCTCCCCCACAATTTAGTTTGAATTTTAAGCTTTCAGAAAAGAAAAAACAATAGTGTGATTTTCATGGTTACCGAAGTGACTAAATTTCCTCTGAGTTCTGGACTTCGCATATCTGGTTAGTTGGGGAGAAGAGAGGTAAGGAGATGACAGGGAGATACAAGTTCAGAGTAAAAAGTACGATAGGGAGGGCTAGCAGTGATAGTGGTAAAGAAATAACAGGAGAGGAAATCAGGAAGTGTAGTTGGGAAAGCTGAATGGGCCAGAGCAGGTAGTGTTGACAGCACACGGAAGACGGGGTACCAGTGCCTGTTTCATGGCTCTGGAGACCTTTACAGGGCTCACAAGGCCCGTTTTGAAGAGCACCATCTTGAGTTGGGTTCATTGTTTAAATTGCTTTGCGTGATGATGTATTGTCTAAATCTTGTTCAGACATGTCTGTTTGGGATTGTTTTCATTTTTAAGTCATTCTTTTCTAGAGAAGAACAAATAAAAAAAGTAGCTTGTTGTAGTGGGTAATGTTGGGAGCAGTGTCTCTGACCCTGGCTGGACTTCGAGCTGGCCAGTCCCTGGGAGGGCTTCTGCCTCTCTGTGGGCTGCTTGTTGCTCTAACAG